TCCGCTTTGTTCACCAGTTTTGGCCACTTTTTATCACTCGTCGGAACCCTTTATACCACAAATCAAAACAAATCATTAAAGTCTATAACAAAACAAATAACTGATCGCATGACTCGAGTTAACAATAAATACCCAGTTTTTGCGAAATTAGTCCATAAAGTGATCCACTCTTTACTGAAAGGTATGTCGAGCTTAGGGTTAGCGCCGGTCCTGAAGAACACAAACTCGAGATCGGATCCGTGGCAGATGCCCATTGTCTTCTCGTCACAGCCCTGCAAATGGCCGCCACTCTGATAGGTCTGCTCCCAGAAGTACACATTAACTCTGGGCGAGTGTTGGGCCACTTGTTTAGCAAACAGATAGGTATTGCACTTCATAAACGTATCGCCAAATATGTCATAATAGGCCCACCGGTTGGCCGTATAGTTGTCGGGCGCCGTACCGTTAAGGTAAAAGTCGAGCACTTTATTCACATCGGTGTCGCCAACCGTCCACTTAATCGCTGCCTTCAATATATCTTTAGTGAAATTACCGGCGATTCTGGGCGCCAGAAATGAGCCCTCGTTTCGCGTCACTCCGGCCATCAAATCCACGTCTGTTTAGTCAATGATAAATAACCATGGTTAATTTATAAATCATGTTTATAAATTATTTACAAATGTACCTATCACATAATTACAACTAGTGAGAATTTAAAACTAGTAAAAATCTAGCATTATCAACTTGTATATTATAATGTGGTTAAACTAAAGCCTTTATAATAAAGGTAAAATTAAAATTATTATGCCGACTAACCTGTATTATATTTGCCTGTATTAAACGCCTCCTGTGCCAGTATTGGCATATAGTGGGTGCCGACCAATGGGCCAACAGTAATACCGGGGTAATCGTGAACCTCTTTAGCGGACACATTGCGCAGACAGTCTAACCAAGTGTTGTCATCCGTGCACTTGAAATGTGTTGCCATACGCCGGGCTTCGGCCAAAGCGGCCGACTTTGTGTGGGTGTGACTACGGGTCCAGAGCTGAGCGCCCGACTCGAGGATCGCCCGTTTGAATAGCCCTCTGGCGAGTGGGCACAACACCAGCGCCGACACCGATATACTGCCGGCGCTCTCACCGAAGACAGTGATCCGCTCTCTATCGCCGCCAAACAGATGGATGTTTTGCCGCACCTGTAGTTTGAATGCAATTTTTTTATTACATTAATAGGATATTATAATTTTTCAATCAAGGTCAATTGCAAGTAAATAACAAATTAATTTTGCTAACTAAACCACTAATAATTATATTGATTACAATTCTATAACGATTGATAAATTCTTTAATTAATACAATTGAGATTATGGTTATCGTTATAAGCTTGGTTATCTTGGTTAACTAAATATGGTACGAGTTAAAAATAGCAATGTAATGCACCTTAATTGTAAATTACTAACTTGTAAAAATATTAATTTCAATTAAAAATAAAATTTTAACCTAGATTCATAACCACACAATGTAAAACTCATTTTAATAATAAATTACAAACCCATTTAAGCCCTTCGAGTTGGTCTAATAGACCGAGATTTCCGGGCGCCTCGACGTCATCGCCGCCATAGAGAAAGCCCAAAGAGCCCAACCGGTAGTCGACCGACACATACACCACATCAGACGCGGCCAATGACTTCCCGTTATACATGTCCGAGAATATTGATCCGGACTGAAAGCCCCCGCCGTATATCCAAAACATTACTGGTTTGAGAGCACCGGTAGTGTTATGCGGGGCCCATATGTTCACAAACAGACAGTCCTCAGCCACCGGTTGGTCGCCGCCCAGACATGAAGTTTTCTTTTTGGTCGCGTCTATAATGCCCTGCAATTAGCATAACAAGTATTATATATTTTATTAATCTTGGTAGTCTTACCGGTGCCGGTTTAGTGATGGGATGGGGTCGGGCGAACCGGAGGGCACCCACTGGGGGCTCAGCGAATGGTATGCCTAGAAATACGTTCAGCCTTTTCTCCATCTCGACGATTGTCTGACCCCTGACTGTCCCGGAGCTGGTCTTCACGTCCACCGTTTCGGCGCCGATAGTCAGGCATAGGCTTAACAGTAGGCCTGCGCTCAGGTATAACATTGTGGTCAATGTTTTAGTTGTTTTGTTGTTTACAATAATTAATAATTGATTTATTATTTATATTAATAACTATTCAATTATTAATTGTCACTATTTATATAGTGTTGTGAATATACTTTAGTGTGTGTGAAATGTACCATAAGTTATGATTAAAACAATTGGTTAATTTGTATGATTAGAACAATTGTATGATTAAAACTTAATTATTAAATTATTAATAAATACATTAACAATAGGCCTGCGCTCAGGTATAACATTATGGTTAATGTTTTACAATTTGTAATTTACAATATTAACTAACATTCAAATTAATAAATATAAAATATTAAAAAATGGTTTAAAATATTTTCATTTTATATAAAATTAATATAAATTTCAAATTTAAATACAAATGAAATAATTGAACTTTAAAGCATTGATTTATTCCTGTTTCGTAACAAAGCGTTGATTACAGTTATTATAAATACATTTACCATGAAGTATGAAGTATTATATGAAGTTGAAGTTTTAAAGTATGAAGCTTTATATTATTATGTCTTTTAGTATGTATTCTAATCGTTAAAACAGATTTATATAAAAAATTATTATTACAATAATTGAAATGACAAATAAATAACTCTTCTCTCAAATTCATAATTTTGTGTTTTATCCAAATATAAGATTTTTGCCACAATTTTCTTCATTGCATTTGAATTTCCATTCATTCAAATGAACACAACTTTTGTGTCGAAATAACATTTGTTTTGATGTAAAACTTTTGTGGCATTCATTGAAATCACAAATAAATCTTACATTTAAATGAATAGTATTTATATGACGATTTAGTTCTGGTTTATATTTATAACTTTTATTACAATTATTAAAATCACATTTAAATGGTTTAATTGATGAATGTATTAATTGATGTGTTTTTAAATTCTGTTCAATAGTGGACTTGTACTGACATTTAGGCCAAAAACAGTGAAAATAAATATTACTTTTGCTATATTTTGAATGAACTATACTTTTGTGATCGACGAGAGATACCTTCGATGAAAACCTTTTGTGACATTTATTGAAATCGCAAATAAATCTCACATTTAAATGAGCGATATTTTTGTGATGAATTAAACCTGATATTTGAGTAAAAACTTTATTACAATTAGTAAATTCACATTTAAATGGTTTTATTGATAAATGAATTAATTCATGTCTTTTCATTTCACACATCCATTTGGTCTTATATTGACATTTAGGCCAAAAACAGTGCAAATAATCATCAGATTTAGTAATGATATGACAATTGTTTAG